AGAACTCTCGCTTTCCCCTGCTGTCCCCGACACCTGAGCAGCAGGCGGCGGCTGAAGAGGAATGTGTGAACACGCTAGGTCCGGCCACCGGCCTACTTCTTCCCAACACAGTCCAGGCGCACTGTGGGGCCTGGCAGCCGCAGCCTTGAAAGGTCTGCTGAAAGCCAAGCAGTGGGTGGGCTGGGCCAACAGGGGGATGACCACAGGCACTGAGCACGTAACCGACGCACCGGCTGTCATTATCCCTGCCTGGACTGTGCACGACGTCCAGACCCGGAAGGAGAACAGACAAACATTGTAGCTGCATGCAAGGCCGCTACATGTCAAGAATGAGTACCTCTACTAGCTGTGCTTCAGGGACCTGTGCCAGGTACAGGACAGAAGGAGGGCATGGAGGCATCATTAGCTTCTATGAAGGTGATAGGAATCAGCTGCCACTTCTCTAGAGTGGGAACGGTTCATAGGATTGATGTACAGTCCATACCCTGCTCATATAGTCATTGCCCAGTCCATACACTGCTCATATAGTCATTGCCCAGTCCATACACTTCTCATTTTGGTATTGCACAACCCGCTAGGCTAAGAGCGCAACCTGTCAGAACATGGATACAGCATGCATGGTGTATCCAGCCAATGATGGTTTATGCAAGGGAACAGACCGGGGGAGGGGTGTTTACATTCAGATGGGGGGGTGCCCAAGTGTTGTACAGCTGCAGCATCTCATCGTAGGACATATTGGTGGCGCGCTTCTTTCTTGGGGTCTCGGGTGTCCCCGGCGTGGAACTTGATGATCCCTCCGACTGATACATTATTTATTATTTGTATTTTTGTACAATATACAAATCTGCTTGTCTCTGTGATGTTGCTGTGTTGACATGTACTTAATACTTAATTTGTACATGTTTTATTATAGTTCATGTTTACTGTTATATTATTAGCTCTCCACAAATTTGGGTTGAACTTAAAACGAACTGTTCCCAAATCGCCACCAGCGTTTTATTAAATTAATTTTTTTAGTGTTATAGTTTAAGTTGTTATTTACTCGTTGCTGTTGAAAACGCTGCATGTCGTCATTAAACATGGATTACGTTGGCGGATCAATTTTCTTACTGCTTTCTTTACTGACAGACTGTTGAAAACTATTTTTTGTTTTTGTTTTTTCTGCTACAAACATTTTTGACCTGTACTTTGTAAGAAATATTTTCTTTGACACTTTAGTGAATGGGTTATGTTGACAATTCCCTTGCCCCAGGGTTATGTTGACGAGGCCCTTGCCCCTCGTCAACATAACCTGAACACCAGGCCACATGCTGTAGGCATGTGGCCTGGTGTTGGAGGGGGGGGGGGGGGAGGGGAATTTAGTGCGCTCGCTCATCCACGCCTTTTACTTCACTGTCAGCCTATGCTCAGATCAATGGTATGGTATTTATTTTATGTTATGGGTGAAACAATTTTTTCCCTACGCATTTGGGGGGTGGGGTTCTTCATTCAAATTAATACCAGACCTTAACGGCCATGCACCCTTTTTTTTTTTGGTGTACATGAGATCCCTCCCCAGTTATCTTACCAGGCCTTAAGTCCTGCTATGACCTTTCTGTGAAACCCCACACAACATTTTTAAGAAATATTGCTCCATTGCCTGCTAACATTCCAAGCAAACCTGAAGAATATGGTATTGTATAGGAGGGGTAACTGAAAACTTTAGGTGAAAATGTTTTTCTTTTTTAAAGAAATGTCAGTTTTGTTGCAGCAGGTTTAATACATTACATACCAGTACAGATCCGCCACTTCATATTTAGTTTAAGAGGACACTACAAGCAAGAAATTTGATGCATCCGTTCATTATTGTTACCCTATAAGTGAGGTTAAAATCATAGCTCCTTTAAAAAAAATGTTTATTTGTCATAGAATGATTTCTATCGGCCAGAGCACTTCACGGAACCCCATACAACAGTTATGGCAAATTACTTGGATTTTGGAACTTTCGACCACTATTGACTTGTATTATGTTTATTTTACACAGCCAATC